ATCTCGGATGGATAAACCTGAGAATGGTCAGAAATAGATAATTCTTATACACATATGTCTGATAACAAGAACTGTCACAAAAGACTTTTCTTCACAATTGATATTTTTCCATTACTGTGAATATGATCTGGTCATCCAGCTGAAGTCAGAACAATTGACCTTAGTTGTTCAACAATCTTCATCTTTATTAATTTTCCATATTTTATCTGTGAATATTCAAAATTTTAAAAGATTAATAGAGAATATGTGTTTATGTATCCAAAATTCTAGAGGACTTGAAGGGATCACCATTTCTACAAGTACTCTTATTAATATTTTCTTAGGACCTTTGTGTCTACTCTTTTACTGCCTTCCTTAATACCATTCATTTATACCAATTTACACATGTGCATCATAGAGAGTGTCCCTGGTATATTCCCTTTATCATAATATATTTCATGACGTGGGTAAGGAGCATATTAGATGATGACCATGGTTATTATCATAAAGCTAAATACAACAAGACTTGGATATATAGTACCAGCCTCTCCATCTGGAAAACCAACTTAAAATTTCAAAGATGGGGGACATCCCCATTCTCTGGGTAGACTGATTTTATGCAATCTGGTTTTTGGTGATCCAGGAATGCTATCAATCAGGAGATGCTTGCTGTGTATTAGGATCAGCTGCGCCATGTGCAATATTTCTATTTGAGCCATGAGTCCAGCATCCATCAAAACTTGTTTCTCCTTTCTGTTGCTCAAAGAGCCAAGTAGATGCTGTTGCATTAGTCATTCTCACAACAAACAGGCAAATGTCCATTATCTGAAATACTAATTAATTACATCAATTAGAATGTCACAAAAAATATCACAAGTTTTCCACACTGTTCTCCTTGTTCTAAAGGACTATTGGATTCCATTTCCCAGGATAAATTCTGGGCTTCATCTTGTTTGACCACTGTGTGTTATGTGTGTTACAGAAAAACTGTCATCTTTGTTGGTTGACAAGAGTGTACCAGCTCATCTCAGTGGGCACAGTGCAGTGTTGACTGCAAGAGTTTTGTTTTTTTTTTTTAATTTTAGTGATTAAAAATGTGAACTACTTCACATCAATTTTCATGATTTGATTTTGAAGCAGTAAATTATTTGGGAGTCGGTTATGTAATTTTAAAATTCCATTGATGAGTTTTACCTCATGCTACTTTTTGGAGTGCCTATTCTGTCTTATGTCATGAGATTCTATAGCAAGGCAGGCAACCTCATCCTCTATCTGTTCATCCTTTGATATTAGATACAATGCGTCAGATATGCATCAGTGAGTCAGGGATTTTCTAGCAAATCCCACTGATTCTGTTACTGTTTCCAGACCATCTTCATTTTCCCTGATTAATAAAAATACAAGACTCCAACAAGCTGTTATATTCATGATTAGAACAGATTACAACAAAAGCATATACATATAAATAAGGATAGACACTATGATGAAGTCCCTGATAAAGCAGGCACAAGTTCTCTGATGTCGTCTTCCAGTAGAGTCTCACGTACATATTAAGTTCTATTAGCAGTGATGTATGATGCTGTTATGACTTCCTTCCAGAGGAAGACTATATGGAATAGGGACTTTGGGCTCTGAAATCCTAGAAGACTTGAAGGGATCACCATTACTCCAATCAACTCCTGGTACTGCAGTTTTAGGAAATTTGTGTCTACCCCTTTACTAACTTTTTAAAGATAATTTCTGAATATCCATTTTTAAATGTCCACGTTCTCTGGGTGAGTCTATATTTCCTCTATGGCATGTGTGAAGCATTTACCACAATGGTAGTTCTCCTGAGGATTAGTATCCAGTGGTGTTCATTAGAGTCCATCACAAAAGGTATATTGCATCTGCATAACTGAACTGCCATGCTCAGACAACAGCCGTCCAGAGAAAAACAGGTGTTCCTGCACCCACAATCAATGTGTACCTACAGCTAAAATCAATTAGTTGAAAATGTTAATAATATATTATTTAACATGTCTTGAATATGTTAAAAAATGTTTAGGTTTACACATGAAAACTTTACCTTATACAGTCGGTAAGATTTTTAAAAACTTCAGGAAAATCATGCCCAGAATAAGATCTAGTACCTCACTAGTTGACCTGGATGAATCCCAAGAGAAGACTATGAGGGTTTGCAAAGCCCAGAAACACACAATTATCACTTTCCTGTACATGAGTCCAGGTGAGATGGCATAAGGCTGCTAGAATAAAAGATAAAGTACTGAGACAAGGGAGAAGGAAAACATGACAAAATTAAGGCCCCGTATGAGACAACGTGAATAGGATGTGAGGCTGAAAGCCTGTTGAGGAACAATCAACATAAAACAATGCAGTGAAGGTCTACCTGAGTAAAAGAGATTATGTCCTGAAGGATGTTTTGGAGCAGGAGGCAAGCACACACAAGGATTGGGTTCAGTGGAATGGGGGAGATATTAGATGCAGGCATTCCCAAAAGAGTTGCTACAGATACTAGGTGTAACTCATATCACTCCTGGGCTTACATCTACATATATCAAATATAAGATTAAGTATTTTTCCTACCCTGACAGAAATGACTGAGTCTCAGAATGAGAAAGATGATGAGGGGTGTCCCAAGTAATAGAGACAGAGCCTGAAAGCAAGACTCCTGACCTCACACATACCTGCCTTACTTCTGTTCCCACAGTTTGCAGACATGATACTCCTACTCTGACGGGAGCTATAGTCTCCTCAGAAGACATTCTGTTGCCTTCATCTTAGTGTAACAAGAATCTGGAATTTGCAGAGTCTCAAAGTTTCATCAATGTTTCCAAAATGTTTTAGGGTAATAAAATAAATAAATTAACAGAAGACATTTTAAAAGCACAAAAGTCAACAGAATTCCATGCTTTATTTTCATTTTTAGAAAACACACTCAAGAATCCCTTAACAAGACTAAAAGAAGAGAGGATCCTACTCAAGTATGAGAAGGAACTAAAAGAAAACATATTTTTCAAAGGACAGATGTTTTATAGTACAGGTTTCTCCCACTAGTTAAGTATTCTTTGAAACCATCGCCAATAATGTATTAGCTAGTGATGTTCTGAGAGGCTGCATATAGTTTCACTGAAGAATATTTGAAGATTTTTTAAACACACATTTTTCCATTTTGTGATGGGTGATTTTCAAGTAAACCTGTCTGTACTCTGTCTAGCAGTCTGATGAAAGTTGGCATGACCCCCAAACCCTTTCCTCCTATTCACCCAATCTTGTCCTGAGTGGCTTTTTCTTCTCCCAAATGAAAAAAGTCCTCAAAGAGAAATGTTTTGCATGTGTGAAAGGGATGAACAACACTGGCAGAAGCACTAAAGGCATCATAATTAAAACATTCAAAAACTGTTTTGAGCAGTGAAAAAAATCATATAGATGTATTGAATTAAACTGAGAGTAAACTGAAGATGACTGAAATTGAACATGTAAATTAAATATATAAATTATTCATAAATAAATTCTGGGTTTATGGGAATACTCCCTCGTACACAGTATCAGAAATAAAAGGAAATGATTTCTAATTGATGCCACTGAAATTCAGAAGAAGTTCTAGAGGAACCCTGATATTATTCAATGTTACCTACAGCTGCTCAAGTATCGATGTGGCTCTTGTCTGAGTACCTACTAAGAGTTGGAAACACAATGCTGGTGTTCACATATTCTGAACACCACACTAAAATTTCCAAATAATCTGTTTTTGTCAAAGTTGTTCATCTCCCTAATTCAATAGATTCTGAAGTTAGATTCATGCAAATACAGAAAAGCTTTTCTCTTCCCAAGTTTGCAACCCAATAAAAAATAGAAACAAGTGACAGAAATGGAGATTATGTTATTAACTCTCTTAGTTCTGAGAAAATTACAACAATAGAACTGTGTTCAATAGCATACCTGTATCCAAATTCAGAAAACACAGTGAGATCTTGGCAGCAAACACTCTCAGGAGAGGTTCCCACATAGGAAAACACCCATATCCCTACAGTTGCATGTGTGGTGTACATGATCAATTCCTTACTCAGACTCAGCAGAAGAAGCAGCTTTTCTCTTATTGTGGGAAGTAAATAAATTATGCTTGGCAAATAATAACCTACTAAAACTTTCTGTACGTACATGATCAGAAACCAAAAAATATGACAAAAGGTGATCTTACCCTAGATTTAACAACTCCTCAAGAAAAAGGAAGCTCTGTGTGAGCCCACACTCAGAATTAAAGCATGATTCAATAAGAATTAATGTAGTTACTGCAATTATTTTCAGAGTACATTCATTATTCTATATGCCATCTGAGAATATAAAAATATGCTTTCATGTTTAAAAATTCATAATCAGTGTTGTTTTCCTAAAAATTTACCTCCCATCTGTCCAACAACAGGCAGCTCCATGAACCAGCAACTCAGTGTACATCTCTGACATCAGTCACCTAGTTTGTGACAGATGATTTTCTGGGAACAGCCCCCTAAAAAATAACTGAATAAAGTTAATATTACTAAGGTATATGCACTGCTGGTACACACAGGACATTCTTAATGGGCAACCAGAGCTCAGGGACGTAAGAATAGACAAGTCAGATATTTTAGGATCAACAGGGAATTAAGAAGCATCAGATTCCTCCCTACATTACTCTTCTCTGGTTTACAGACTTGTGTCTTGGACTGAAAGTGTTCACAGCCTCACCTCTCCTTCTATCTCATCTTCTACATCCATTAGTGACACCTGACTGAGGGGTATATGAGACCGTTTCCTTCTACTGTAACAAACTTTTCTAATCCAGTGTTATGTACAAAATTATAAACATAGAGAGATCTCAGGAGAAACAGGTGCAGAGGAAGTCGTACCACTAACAGGAAAACAGCCCCCATCCTCCCTTAGAATCCTCCCCTGTGGTGGCCCCATGTAGTGTGGTTCCTGCTCAGCCTTTACTTTGGCGTTCCAGGGAAGTTTTTGTCAGAGCTCTAAGGATATTTACTCACTGTGTTTCTTGCACAGAAATAGACACCTGTGTCCTCCTCTTGCAGGTTGTTCATTTGCAGATAAAGCATGTTCTTGGCGTTGTCTCTGGAGGTGGTGAACCGGCCCTTCACAGAATCTGCATAGTCTGTGCTACCACCATTAGGATTAATGTATGAGATCCACTCCAGCCCCTTTTCTGGAGCCTGGCGGATCCAATTCATCCAGGCGTTACTGAAGGAAAACCCAGAGGCCTCACAGGAGAGCCTCAGGGATCCCCCGGGCTGGACCAAGCCTCTCCCAGACTCCACCAGTTGTACCTGACACTGGACACCTGTGAACACAAAGACATCCTGGTCATAAATAGCCACATATGTCCATTGTTTTTCTCACTTACATCCTCTCACACATTAAATAGCTCTAGGTCTCTATGAATCACCTTTCAAAAGAGCAATAAAGAAAATCCAGTGGAGTCCAAAGTCCATGGTGATTCGTCTGTTTTCAGTCTTTATCCCTATATGAAAACAACTGAGAAGCCTAGGCCTAGGACTTCTCTCCCAGAGCTACCGGTTCAGTGTTAGACTGGCTTTTATCTGCAGAGGAATGACCCTATTTGCATGCCTTCTGCTATATAGCAACTTCTAGGTTGTGTAGCCTCAAATAGAGCATTGTCCAGAGAATATGAGTGTCCTTGGAGATTTTGATGAAAGGATAGCATTTAGAAAGCATAATCTTTCATTATTATATCATTCATTCATAAATACATGGCATTGATATTTAAAATTTTTATTTTCAGTTTTCTGAATACAGTAATTCTACAAGACACTCACATAAGTAATGTAAACAGCACCAATCATTTTTCTTTACTTTTATATTTCCTGAGAAAGCATGGCATATAGTATAAATAATAAATTTATGTACAGGTGTAACATACAAACAGAAACACAAATCTTCATAACTCACACAAGGTACAGGTGAGCCTGGGTACCTTGTACTGTGCTGGTCATCACTGGAACCAAGTGCTGTCTGACCCCACCCTACTACAAGTGGGACAAGCATGGTGAGGTGTGCAGAACCCTATTTCTGTAATGAGATCATAGTGTAATTTGTGTGCACTCTTGTGTTTACCGAAATTATGGGAAGAAAATCTGGTGTGACCTAGGTGTATTTATATGAATCTCAGAAATTTCTTATATTTATATCTGTCTCAGTCAGTTACTTCAAGTTAGGTTCTTTACTTGTTTATTTATTACAGTTTTATTTAATCATTATTGGCATAAAATAAACATGATATAGCTGCTACAGTGCCCAGTTAGATAAGAACTGACGTGCTCAGCTGGGCTTTC